CCCGGATTTGCAGCGGAGATTGCACCGACTGCAGCCGAGGGGAAGGAGAAATGCATCGCGGACACACGTGTGCAGTGTCGCGCATGCACCCGCTTGTATGCACCTGCGAAACACATGTTCTACACGGCTCGAAGAGGATGGGAACCGTCTCTGAACGGCGACAAAAATCTCCGACAACATCCGCGAAAGAAACTTCATGCCACTTTTATTTCGCAAGATTTATCTGTTGAAATCTTGCGGAAAATTGCATGTTTTCATATCTGAGCGTTGTTTTTCCTCCGTTTAATCGAGAACAAAGAGTCGTTCTCTTTCCACGAACGTGAAAGCTAGGTCAATCGTGACTCAAATTAACAAAACGAATCACATGTTTCGATTAAAATTTCTTCTTTATATCAATTATCATTGAAACCGTTCTTTTAATTTACTTATCCGTAGTGTCAGTTTTCTATTAACATCGATGACATCAGTTCGAGCAATTCCATTCTAACTTGATATCGATGTCGATTGCATATCGACGTTTTTTTAGAAAGCAATATTTCATCCTATAACCTATCCAACTTTATTTCGCCTAGCCTTTTATCACGGTTCTCTTTTTACCGAGCACATACGCCAAGTGTCACGTTTATTTATTGTTTATAGCACGAATGCGATTACACTCGACAGGGGTTGCAACGTAAAATGAAAATAGAACGGATCGATGGTGTTTTCAGCAAGGCAACGGTAAACTCAGTGAACTTTCGTGGAACGACCGATTTCACCGGTGAAATTAAACAAAAAATAAATGAAGTTCGTTGAAAATATACTCGAATCAGAGTGACCTAAATAAGATAAGCAATTAAAAAAAAATTCTATTCAACATTTCAACGTCTATCTTTTATTCCTGACAGACGTAAGGAACGTTTTAATTGAATTCCGGAGCAATTGGTCGTCGAAAGAGGTCTCTCTGTCCGGTCCGCGCGACATTGAATTCAATTCCCAGCTTCGTCTGGCTCATTAACGTCGTTCTTCGTCGCTCGTGATATCAGCTTCGTTCTTTTCTATCCGCTTCTCTTCGCGAAATCGTTCTAGTAAATCCCGTGAAAACGATGCTTCTCTATTAAATTGTCAGATACGTGTTTTCCACCCAAGTTCAATGCACCCGGCGCGGCCGATCGAATCACGCGACTCCTGGACTTTCGGAAAAATCGGTTTTTCGTTCGGAAAAATACCGTCGCCTCGCTGGTATTTCGTGTGAATGGAGAGAAAGAGGAATTTAATTTGCTCGCTGGCTACCTTTGCGGCAGAATGTTGTTCGATTCCAGATTACGGGTAAGTTTCGATACCGGCTGATTGGACTTTTTCAGCGGACGTGAAAAGGGATTTCGAGCTCGGTTTATTTTCATAGCAAACAGAGACTCTTCTTTTTTCCAGCTGTGATTAGAACAAAAGAATTCAGTTGCTCGAATTTTAGGCGAGCTAGATTAAATTTTGCTTAACGAGCCGCGAATTCGTCGCGTTAATCAAAGACATTTCAAGTGAGAAAAATTAAATTCACGCGACGTGGAAGAAAAAAGAAGAAAATAAAGAATTTCATCAACGAAAGGGGAAACTTTGTTGCAGCTATAGCTGCTTCCTTTCGCCGAGGGACTAATATAAATCAAACTTTCTCGACATGGATCTAAATTCAATTTAATTTCTACGCTGACCCGCCAGTCTTTTCAGAAGAACGAGTCCTAGAATGTTAATGCAGTTTCCTTCGTAGCTGCACTGTTTGGACAGTATAAGCTGCAATTTACCTCGACTACACTGCACACGTAAACTTCTCGCCGGGGGTTTCATCGCGAACCCCTTCGTTTCTCAGTGTTCCGGTTCGTTCTGACCCCTCGAATCGCTTCTGTTCCCGACACTGCTCTAGCCAGAGTACATATTTACCAGTCCTTTCATTTGCATTCGAAGGATTATTTATTTTCTCCTCTACACAAGCAGTTTCGTACTATCTACTTCCCTACGCATTGAGATTACAATTATTGTTTATCCTCTTCTCAGTTTACTAGAATTCTGTTTTGATCGTTATCGGTTACTCTCCATTGAGAAAGCGATCGTGTTTTTCCATTAATTTCTTTTCCTTCTTATCGTCTTATTGTTAATGACGATACCGTATCTCAAGTATGAGAATAACTAGCAAGTGAATTTGTTGATCCCTGAACATCTGTTGATTCAATAAATTTTAACGCGAGTGCAACGAGAATTTTATCGTTTACTTTCTCGTCTGCATTCCATGGGGAATGATAAAAAGTGTTTAATATATTTTGTCAGGTAAAAGTTGACGAGCCAAACTAATGGAATGTTTTGTATCTGTTTTGAAACAACGAGAGTGAATCACGAGTACAAGTTTTCATGGGATGTTTGTAAATTTTTCATCCAACTCGCTGAAATTCCTCCATTTTTCTACAGGCTGAAGTGTGGTTCACCTGATTGAAAGGCCAGGAATTTCATTAACCCGTTATTGAAGATAAATGGCGGGTACGAACGCTTGGTAAATTAAAATCGACACAACGAGAGCCTGTAAACATCGTTAGAAGGGAAATCAGAATCGAAATACTATCGAATATTCTGATAAAGCTGTGGTTACGTTGTATGAAAGAACAGTTTCAGGATATTCATTGGAATATTAGTTTATCAGAAAACGTTTCCTGTGTAGCCGTTGCTGTAATTAAGTATGGGTCAGGGGAGAATTGACCTCGCTATTCTAAAATTTTATAATTATAAAATTCTATAACTCTGAGATTTTTAATTTCCAAATTTGCAAATTCTACGATTTTGAAGTTCCACACTTGCAAAGTTTTTAATTTTAAGACTATGATTCCAAGTTTGCAAATTCTGAAATTCTAAGACTCTAAGATCCCAAATTTTCAAGTTCTAAAATTCTAAGACTAATTTTACAAATTTGCAAAATCTAAGATTCTAAGACTCCAACGCCCTAAATTTGCAAATTCTAAAATTCTAAAATTCTAAAATTCTAAGACTCTAACGCTCTAAATTTCCAAATTCCAAAGCTCCATAAACAAGGTTTCACCAACAAGCATTGCTATTATATAATTTTATAGAAATCTACCAGCTTAAGTCTTAAAGTCGCAAAAGAAAAGGAACGCAGCGACACTATTTCTTGGCTCATAAAACAATAACAGCTAATAAGACGCAATTGTTCGTGGTACGGAAGTAATAGAAGCATCTCGAACTGGCCAATAAAACTGCACATCCATCTGTCGCTACCAAAACGATGAAAGGTACATTCAGCTGAACTTACGAATAATATTTAATAAGAAAAACGAACAGTGATTCACTGTACAAATCGCTGTACACACAAGACCGATAAGAGAGGTGAAAGAACATAAAACATCAACGAGGAAATGAATCGAACGTCGTAAGTTAAAAAAACACTGGTCGTGGACTACTAAGCAGAAAATCGGCTTCTTTCGCATTTATCTGGAAACGATTCGAGCGTGGATCCGCTCTCGTAATTTTCAGCGACTTTAAAAGCGAGTTGCGGCTTCCTGTCCGTCTAAATCTATACGCGAGTCCAGATTCTCTCTTACATTCGTGTAAAACCCTAATCGTTATCAAATCACAACTCCAATGTTAAGAAAAATTCAAATTAAAAAACTTGCTAAATTTAAAATTCTGTTACGGCAAATATTTAATTTTAATATATTTTAACACTTTGATAAACCTATATCGCATATTTATAATTCTAAAGAATTTATCGCTTTATCAAATTATCTACTGATTAAAATCGTAAAACTATCGAATTCCAAGAGGTATTAATCGCGTAAAATGTAAAAAGTTGAAATTCAGGAATCAATCGAGAGTAAGCGCGCGAAGCGTTAATCGATACTCATTCGACTTCTCGCGGGCGAATCGAGGATCGATTGAGAACCACTGGGCCGTTGGCCGCAAAACGAACGGATCATCGACAGCTCTTCTTTCATTGTCAATGCTCTTCCGAATCGGAAGAAGGAGGGAAAGAATAAGATCGCGTATACGATATCGAAGAAGGAAATGGATAGAAAGAACGGAGACGAGCTTGTTGCAGACGTCAGGTCTGTTAGACGATGACGAACGCTCCGCTATCAACTTCCTGTTGGAATTGATATAGATGCACGAGCCCTGCTCCTACGTTCACGCGACGAAAGGGTCATTGATCCGGTTCGTTCAGCTAGTTATCGCGTTTTTTATTCCCAATGACCGGTCGTTTTTCGCCGGGAATCAGTAAACACAGCTGCTTTCCAAACTTTTATCAATCGTAAATTCTTATTTTAAGCGTTTAATACTCTACCATAGGAAAGTTTTCAATCAAAAATTCATTCGAGTAATTAATTAATCTCTTACCACGCGATATTGCGTACTCGATCATCGACGTTTAAGTGTGACGGTAGATAGCAAATTCGGCATTAATTATTTATGATAAAAATTAGCAACTTGGAAATGATATATTTGCCAGCTGTGGGAATTAATGGGTTAACAAATGGCTTCCTACCGCGAAGGGTTAGGTTAATCACTGACGTAAGCGGGACACGATTTGTCTCGGAAAGTTTGGTACACTTTATGAATTATTTAGTAATTTTATAAAAGAAAAGAAGAATTTGTAAAAGCCTTTCCTTTTACGTCACGGCAAGGCAGATTATCATCACACATATACATATAAAATGATCATTTATCGAAGTAATACATGTTTAGTAAATATACGCAATATATGACAGGTTAAGGGGAAAGAAAATTATTAAATTTACTAATTACTTCACCGATGCAAAAATAACCCTTAAGAAAATGCTAAGTTAAAAGTAATTAATTCTTTCGTTTTCTTGACAGCGATCTGTTTACCAACAAGGAGCCGGCCATTTTCGAGCGCGCGGTACAGGGCGTAACCAAGGCCGCGGAAAAAAGCTTGTCCCTAACCCTACTAAGGGTTCGCGCAACGTTCTAGACGTGATACATGCATATAAAAAATTTCAAACACTTACCTTCTGGGTAGGCTTGTTTGCTCTGCACGAAGTCGATGAACGTGTTGGTCACGTTGTACAGCTGGCCCATGCCCTTGGGGTTGAACTTCGTGGTGGCGTTGTATAGCAGCCCGGTCGTGTTAATCGTCGTGTAGTTGAGGGCCTGCAAGGCCATGATTCCGTTTAGCTGCCGGTCCAGATCCTCGCTGATCACACGCATCCGATTCGTTAACGTCTCTTGACAGGTAACTGGACACGACACGAGAAGAACAGAGAACAGAACGAGAATCGCGAATCCATGATACACCATGGCATTGAGCCGAGAACCGAACGAATAACGTGACACCATCATCTAGCGACTTGCCCCGGGGACGCGTCGCTACGGACTGATGGCTCGTCTAGTTCCAAGGCACGCGGAACCGAACCATCCCCACTTCGCCGCGCGCCGCCATATTGTCACCGAGCCCGTAGTCCTGGTTCGTGCGTTCCTACCGTTCAACGACCTCGGCGAAAATAGATTTCTGTTTATTCTGCAAACAATTTTACTCGAGTTATTTAAATTGTATTTTACTGTGTCAGTGAACTGTAATAAATGATTTAAATATCGAATATGTGAATTTTTAATAACTGTAAACCTTAAATGTAAATCCTGTTGTTCCTTGTCCAGTCGTTCCTTGACGTTAGGACCGTAGTAAGTGAATAGCGGTACTAAAATTTTTTATTACGATTTATTAGATTATTTAGTTTTATTACGTTGATTGAAGTTAATTGCACGGCTAACTATATTTCAGTGGCTGAGAAATTTGTTATGAATGTTTATAATTGTCATAAAAATTGATTTTTGCGGATTCCTTCGATTGGCTGGGGTACCAGGAACGACTCAATCAGCGCGCGGGATTTTCCCCGCTATTTTGAAATCGCGCGTCCTTGTTCCTGTAACGTGAAAGATTGCATTTTAATTAATCGCGATGTGACGACTGTTTTCGTGCAATAATCGCATCAGCGAAAGGAGCAGAAACAACAAATTAACGTGAGAATCGTGACGAAAGATGAGCAGCGTTTCTTGCGTCATTTAATTGACTTGATGCAATGATTCCACCAGATACTGTCTCGAGAAATTCTTGCGTTAAACCATCCTGTTGTCTCTAATTTCCAGCTCGTTCTTTCAACCTGAAATTGAATATCATGTTAATAAAGAAGAATTTTAAGTGTTTCAAACTGATATTGAATTATACACGTTTAAAAGCACGATCAAAATTAATTTAATAGGTAGCAAAATCTTAGATAGTAAATAGATAGCAATCTTGTTACAGACCCGTAACTCTACTCGATAAATATTAAGAAATGGTTGTAATCGTTTCGATTAAACGAATTTAATCTTATGTTTCTGATAAACGTAGCTGTATCATCACATTCTACCAGAATTATAAAATCGTTTTAATCTAATCGATATCGATCTTTAGGTCAGTTTCGGTAGCTTAACGGATTCCAACTGTTAAGATGATTAACGATCCACCTGGCATACTATCAAGGTATCGTTTTCACGAGCAACTGGTAGCAAAGTACAATGTCGCGTTTATTGAAAAACGAAGAATGAATTTCCAACGAAACATGGAAATCGATGCACCTGCAATTGCCTCTTTTTATCCGTGTCACTCGATACCAGTCTGTTCAAGCTTTCACGTAGAGATCCACTTTTAAAGACCAGTTTAATCGAACGAAGACATAAGGAAAAAAAAGGAGAGATTTCCAGCAAAAAGTCATCCCCTATAATTAAGAAGAAAATCTCGTCGCGTCGATATAAACGAGTCGTTAGTGTCGTTACCTGAGTAATTAGCAGAGAAACATTGTCGCAATTTCTGCGACATCGAAGAAATAAACGATCGAATCAATACGTAATTGAATATCACATGAACTCGTTCGATCAACGAGAGTGTTCATCGTTTCTCATCACCGGGCTCGATTAACTAAACGCAGAAACACCGAATCCAGGTCACGACATCGAAAACTGCATTTCGATCGGTCTCTGCTGACCCGAAAACGACGACTTAGCAACCGCTTAGATCATGCGTCGAGAATTCTCGCGAAAAGAAAAGGATGCTTTAATACGATACCATTACGTTTCTTAACTTCGCTTTTTCACTCGTATCTCGAGAAAGGAATTCTATCCCGCGGTTAGTTAGTTATTCGAGATACCAAGTTTTCCAGTAAAACTTGGAAGTTGAATAGTTTGCGAAAACACCGTTCGATGTTTCGTACAGTATTGTGTTAAAGAGTTGAGTTTTCTACGCGGATGGTCGACACTACCCGAGAAATACCCTTCCAGTGATTCAGCTGGTGAGCTTTATTTCCGAGAAACTTCCTCGGAAACTTCGTTCGCGAAGAAAGTTACTCGACTGAAACATCTTTTATACGCGACGGTTTTTCACTGAACGAAGCTTTAATGAATCGGGAAGGGAAAAATTAAACGACTCGTCCGGTATTAACCAACTCATCGTCGCTTAATCAATTTTATCTACAAACGAGTTTTACAAATTATACTATTCCCTCGATGTAACGAGTCCAAGTAGCTTATGAAAGTTCCATGCGAAATTAGACACGTTTCGGAGCACCATGCTCAAAAGATACAGGGTGTTCGACAACAGGTGAACAAAGTTTGAAGGGATGATTCTAGGGATCAAAATAAGACGAAAATCAAGAATAACGAAATAGCGTTTGCGGCTATGTTTTCCAGTAATTAACGTTTAAAAATTCGAGTAAAAAGCCCCTGAAACCTAAACGTTAATTACTGGAAAACAAAGCTGCAAACGCTATTTCATTATTCTTGATTTTCGTCTTATTTTGATCCCTAGAATCACACTAGAAACGTGTCTTGAAGAATTTAAAAAAATTTTTCAAATTGTTGATTTTACAATTTTTACAATAAATTATAACTGCAGAACTAACGAACTGATAGAAACGAGCGTTCAGGTACTTAAAGTAGAGACATGGGAGTAGCTAATAAAAATTATTTCATTTAAAGAAAATTTATAATAGTAAACATTGAAAAATCTGAAAAAAAAATGAGAATATAATCCTGTCTGTCCTCCAATTTTCAAAAATAAGGACACTAAAATTGGACATACAAAAATTCCTGCGTGCGAACGAAAGAAATCGTGCAATTCTTTATTACAAATGTGTCCGTCGGTGTCGGCGAGTGCATCTGAAAATAGTACGGAATGGTTCCAGTCATAGCCGACGTGTTTAAAATTGGCAGAAAACTAGGCTATGCTCCGCACGACCCTTTCGAAGCCGTCAACGATATTCTTATCGTCCTCGAGGCTTATCTCTCAAAACTACATAAAAAACACTTTCTCCTACGGTGAACAATAAATAAATAGCGTTGCGCGATGACGAATGCGGTGTCGCAGTTAATTCAAACGACGATTGCATTACGATTTGAACTCGTAGAGATAGCGATAAATAAGACGAGACTCGTTCGCGTGAGGTCGAACGACTCGATAAGACGCGTAAAAAGAGGAACTGGAACGCGAAGAGGGCTTAGGAAGCGTAACTTCAGGATTTAATAGGCCTCGGCAATTCCTTGGCGAAGCTGGCGTCGTCGGACGAAATTTTTGGCACCTCCAGAGCTGACGGCACGCTCGAATCCTCTCGCGGATTCAGCCAGTGGCTCCCGCTGAAAACAGAAGCAAAATAGGTGAAACACTTCCTGGTCTCTCGTCTCGTCGAGGAATTCTCTTAACGAGCATCTTCAACTTCAAAGAGAATCTTCTTTTTGTATTAGCTAACTATCTGGCAATTCAACTTCTAATTACCCTACGAAATTTCTTACATCCGTTCTATTCTTATCGGATGGTAAGAAAATGAGAAATCCTTGTACAATAAATTAAATGTGTCTCGAGTGTGTGTCTATCAACTAAGATAAGAATCTTATCGACGATAGTTGATAAGCTATCCGTATGTTTATTCCCTAAGAGAATAGAATTGTAATTAATAACTACCTGTTCATCGACGCAACGTCATCGATCACTTTCGGAAAATCAAGATCCACGTGATCCTTTACAGTATCGTTCGTTCCGTTTCTCGATTGACTCACTATTTCAGCAACAATCGTATCGTTCTCGCCAGTAGTCTGAGAATTCGTGTTATTGATAAGCGATCGATCGATTGATTCTCCATCGATCACCCATTTGTGTCTCTCTTCCGTATCTTCCTTCGAAGTCTGCTCGGGATACCGATGCAGAACGTTCCTTTCGTAATAATATTGCCCAGGTTTCCTGATCGCTGGTCTGTTTATCTGCGAGATCAACGGTTTCGGAATTTCACCGGTGACTCGATTCTCCACTCTGTCGATCTCGTGTCCACCTTGACTCATCGCGTCCGTCCCGATGATAGTGACACTGTGAGTCTTCGATGGTTTCGTCGAATCCTGATAAGATCCTCCGATCGCCTTATCAGTTTCATCGTAATGCGGTTTACTAGTCGTTTTGTAATAGCTTTGAGTCGAATGAAAGCCGTGATCGTTTTGAGAATCGGGTTTATTCGAGGGACTGGAGAAATAGACACCGTTAGGATTAACCGTGCCGAGGAATTCCTTTATTCCGACAGAAGATTGATGAATAAACTCATTCTGATAAGGCTTGTTCGATTGATACCTATTGTCAGAATCGATCGATCCATCAGGTCTGTCTCTGTACCCTTGCGAATTCGATTGTCCAGCTTGATCAATCGAACTCTGCTGATATTGTAGCTTCTGCCAATCGTAGACAGGTCTGGACAGCTGATCGGGACGAGGCCAGGGTGTCTGCGTCGGTTTCGCTTCTTGATCCTGTGGCACGTAACCCACCAGGTAGACGTTCGCGTTCTGCCCAGGTTTCTCAGTAGTCTTATGAAAATTGGTGTAATATGTGTACAAAGTGGGCCTTGGAGTAGATCCTGGATAACTCTCGAACACGACGTCGTTGGGAAGGTAACTGGAATGGAAACCTTGGCTGAGAGGGTTGGGATTGTTGGGATCCTTGAAAGCATACGGGATGTAAGGATTCGCGAAGAGGAGGTTCATCGCAGGAGGCGCAGTGGGGATTGGTCTGGGAGGTAGGAACACTGGGACGGATTGCAAATGGTCCGTGTAAGCTGGTACTTGATCGTTAGGTGAATTAGACTGGTGAGTCTGCTGGTGCAAAGAAGGATTCACCTTGATACTTGACCCATGTATAGCGTCGTTCACGAATATAGGTGAATTAATGGCGTTATTTTGTACAACTATGGTCACGTTATCTGGAGGACCGAGAGGTTTCTTCACGACGATTCTGTTCTGCTGATGGATACTCGCTTTCGGAGGCTTCAGGATCTGCGGTAGAGTCTTCTGTTCCGAGTTGATCTTCGTGGTGCTGGATTCGGTAGTGGTTCTCTTGAATTTATCCAGGATCCCGGCTCTGCCCCTCGTCTCGGACGGTTTCTCCGCCCAGAACTCGAGATCCAACTGTCCGATAATAGGATCGCTGCAGGATAAACGTTGATTCTTCAAGCTGTCCGCAATTAAGAAGACAAAGGGTTGGACAGTCTCTACGTTGTCCATTGTGGCGCAGAGCACTTGGGCCAGGCTGACTCGTCTGATTTGCTGAAGTTGACCGGGAGTGAAGCTGCTCTCCTGGTCAGGATTCTCGTACCAGAACCTGTCGCCACGGCGAACGTTGCTGAATTGTTGGCCAATTATGCAGGCGAAGGTGGGACCCACTAAACCGCCCTTAACCGACTTCTCGGCGAGTCCGGCGCTGAAGAGATCGATATCGTTCACCGAAGAGTAGACGAACCTGAATTTTCTACCGGCGGACGGTGGCATCGCTTTGTCTAAATCGTCGAAGCTATTTATCGACGATAAGCCGCAAGGCTCTCGCCATTGAACGTACGGAGGGATACCGTGATCTCTGCCTCTTTGGATGTTGATCGAGGCGAGATCCATGCCGAAAGGGAAACTGGGGGTTTGGAAGAGGTGATTGGTTAACTCTTCGCTGATGTGCTCGTCCCTTCTTTGAGAGGGCTGATTGATCAATCCGAGGAGAAGACGATCCACCGAACCTGCTGTTTCCAGGTTCGCCGGGTTACTCAGCTCGTTGTGAATCGAGACGTCTGGAATGATATTATTATAACAATTTAATTAAAAATATTATTATTGTATATTCTAAAATATATTATATAATATTATATAATGATTAATGATAAATATATAATATATTTTAGAATATACAATAATATTTTATTCAATATATAATATTGAATTAAATTGTTCATTGAAAAATAAACACATATATATTAAATATATGTATTAAATATTTACCTTAATTATTAATTATTATATTTCACCATTATAATGTTTGTATAATATTATAACAATATAGTTATGGTTCTTTTTTTTTATTAAAAAGGGCTCCATTTTTATGCCAAGGGTACACTTACTATTGAAGATGGGTTGATGATCGCTGTTGAATCTAACGAAACTGTGTTGCACCAAAGAGTGACCGAAACGATAAGCAGCGGTGGAGAATTCATTCGCGATGGTCGGATTTACTTTGGGATCGTAGCCTTCGTAATAGCCCTTCTTCAGCAACTCGAGGTCGAATATTTTCATCACGTCCTGACCTAGAATATTTTTCGTCTATCCTTAAGATTCGAGGATCGCGAGTTAATAATCGGACAGATTAATCCGATTGAATATTTACCGAGAACAATGGGTAGAAATTCTCTGTAGGTGATATGTTGGACAATCGCACCGACGATTCGCCGAGATTCTTGAAATAGCTTCTCGTCGCTCCAGTGAGGATTTAACGCGGCTAACTTCGTCGCTATCCTATTGTGGAGCCTTAGAAAAGCGACGTGGAGCGATGTGAGTGCTGGTTGCTCTCCTAGACGACCATCCCCGGCTCTGAAGCAGTTCGTCGACAACGATCCACGCTTGCAGAGATCCGAGTCCAGCTTTGGAAGCACCGGCCTTTGAGATTGAAGCTTTCCGTATTGCAGTAAACCTGAAACCACCATTAACTTATAAATTTAACTAAAAATAGAAATTAGAAAATTGTAGAAACATGCCTTTGAATAAATATCTCACCGTTTCTGAACAGTCTTAGAGTGTCAGTTTGAAAGGCATTACTGCTGTAGACGGTGGAGGCGTCCAGGTAGCTAGTCACCTGCGTCAACTGTTCCCTGGGGCCGAATTCGCAATCCTCCTTCGGTGCTGGACCACTTCGAACAAATTCTAAACATTTCACGCCCAGGGGACCGAAGAAACTGTCTTTCGAGCTGACAGGTATCGGCAGACACTCCGGATGCTACAAAGATACATTCCAAATGCTTCTGTCTAAACCCAGGAAGATTCAATGGGATGGTATTAAATCGACGGTAATTCGTACCATAAATTCTGGTGGTTGAAAGCCGGAGCCAAATTTGAGACAGCATTGAGGAACTGTACCGTTGAATCCTCGGCTTTGTCCTGTGGCTAATAAAAGTATAAAAGAAAAATATTTTCATTCGTTCGATTGATGTTTCGTTAGATGATTTTCGATAACTACCGGTCAGATCGTGATCAACGAATTGTCCCCATTGCATCAGCATGTGGGTAACTGATGCCAGAGGTACGTCTTTATCTTCGTGGACTACGATTGTCACTTCTCTTGCGGTAGGAAGTCGTCTTCCTGTTACAGATTTCCGGATACTTTGTACTCCGTCACCGTACACTGGCGGCAGAAATCTAAGGAAAACTCGTTGAAAACGAGTGAATTTTGCTAGGTACTGTTGTTTTAATTTTGGTTAACGATTGTTTAGCTGATTACCTCTGCATGGACGACATGGCGGAGCCCCACCAGAGATGATGAAGATTATTACAACTTCCATCGGATGTTCTGTACCTCAAACTAGCCGTTGGGCAGATAGGAACTCCTCTGTTTGGACAGTGCCGTTGGAGTAGATTGCTTTGACTTCGACGAAACACGAGCGAGTCTGTCGGTGCATCTGGGAATCTTGGGCAAACGAAATTTCGGGATTAAATAGCGTGTAGAAAGTTATGGAAGTGCTGGAAATATGGATGGAATTCTTACTTTCGTTTGAACCTTGTGGTGCCTTGAAGCACCGCGAATCCATATTTAGCGAGAGCTCTTGCTTCTTCCGTTTGATCGTTAAAAATTGCCACGTGCCTTGCTGGATTATCGGAATCCAAATATATACCTGTAACATATTGTTTATAATCAGTTTTCAATAAATGGGTCATAAAAGTTCACAGAATGTTTCGAATATTTGAGTAATTACTGAAAATTGTGAGGGAGATTAGTATGCAATTTCTTGTAACAGAAATTGTAACCAAAGAAATAATTGTTATTAAGTAATAACTGTACAGATGTTTATAAAATTAGTATGAGAAAATTGCGTGAACCCTATCCTTTAAAATGCAGTTACAAAAGTTCATAGAATAATCATTAAATCTGAGAATTCAATAAAAATTCGAAAGTATGCACTTGATACGGAGCGATATTATAGCGGTTATAAGAATCAATATTTATTGAATATTAACAAGTCAAGTGTTACTGAAAATCATTAAAGAATGTAGTTTGGACCTTTCTCTTCACGATACAATCATAAAATGTTATAAATTGTTGCTATGTACGATAAAATTAATGAAAATTCAAGAGATGTTTAGCGCCTGTGTTAAGTAGGTAATCACAGTATTAGTCACTAATAACTATTTAATTACAATTGAAATATGTACAAACGTGGTATTAGAAATCTCGACGTGCATAGTTCTTCAATATTATATCATAAAAGTTCACTTTTTGATAGTAATAATTGTTTAATTAATAGTTATTCTCTTCGCATATTCTGTTCTCCTACTATCAGGAGGCACTGCTGGAGCCATGATTCATAATATGTTTTTAATGTATATTTTCAATAGTTCGATAATTCAATAGTGTAAAATTAACAATAAATCTGAAATTGTGTATTTATCTTGTTTGGAAATTGTACTTAAATAAAATAGTAATTGTTACTTGTATACTGCATTAATTAAAACGTAATAACTATATAATTCACCTACTAACCACTTAGAATATCACGTAATTATATAATAATTAACTTAATATATAAAAATATTGCAAAAACTTTATAATTATCTATTTTTTTAAATTTTTCTACCGGTCGGTATCAAAATGATACCACTAGCGCCATCTAGCGGACAACCGAGGAAACACAAAAAAATTAAATTGCGTTTTTTGCAAAAACTAGCAACTTTTGCGACCTATGAGTGGAAGATTATTATTCTGTGGACCCAAAATAATAGGAATAATGCCTTTGTAGTTAGTTTAAAGCGTTTAAATCGAAAATAAAAAAAATAGCATTTTATGGACATGGAAACACTAGCGCCGCATAGCGGCAAACGGTGGTACTAATCGGAACATATACTTCATATGTAACACGAAACTGTCGAAGTAAATTTCAATAAAATCATCATTAATTAAACATTGTTCTATATAAAATTGCTATGAGAAAATTCCTCAAACCCTACTCTTTCTAATGCAATCATAAAAGTTCATAAAATAATCCATAATCGTGAGTATTTAATGAATATTCATTTAATGAATGAACTACGGTACGGAGTGATATTATGGTTACAAAAATCAATTTTTTATTAAATGCTCACGAATTAAATGTCACTGAAAACCATTAAAGAACGTAGTCTGAACATTTGTCCCCACGATATAATCATAAAGTATTGTAGACGGTTGCTATTTACAGAGAAATTAATAAAACTTCGATGGGTATTTAATGAGACCGGTGACCACGCAATTGCTACAACAATTACTAATAACTCAGTAATTACAAGTAAACTATGCATAAAAGTGATATTAGAAAATTCTTCAGGCATTGTTGTTCAAGAATAAATTATGAAAGTGTAGTTTTTAATAGTAATAAACGTGTAATTAATAATTATCACATGGTCTATGCGTCTGTGCATTAGCGCGGTACTTCTGCGCATGCGCCCACAACCAGACCACTGCGCAGCTGTTCTGCGCAGATTGCGCGGGGAAATTTCGCGCATGCGCACAAGTCGTGCCACCTCTTTGCACATCCTATTATCCTAATACCAGGAGCAGAATTCAAACCGTAGTTTCCCCCACCCTGTCTACCCAAGAATCGTGCTACCTCTTTGCACATTCTACTATCCTGATACCAGGAGTACATTTCGAACCGTAGGTTCCCCCACCATGCCACCCCGAAAATCGTGCAAAACCAGAGTGAGAGTAAAACTCGCGCGAGAAGATATCGAGAGTATTTCTAACTAGCTGATAGCGTGCTGAGAGACAATATCACTAACAAATATTCTTTTTAGAGATTAATTAGTGTTACAAGGTTATTAATTTATTCTTTTCACCGTGATAGTACTAATACTGTATAAGATTATAGCCATGTATAAGCCTTTGAAAACTTGATTTTAATAAAGTTTATCATACAAAAAATATAGAAAATATGGATTGATTCATTTAAAACACCCTAAAACCTACCCTTCGAGTATAGCATCGGTTCCTTGATGGTATACAACTCGTTCATAGCTTCCAGTCCGAAATTAGCCGCCTCCAAAAAATCCTCTTCTTCAGGTCCAGTTCCATCATTTTTATTTCTTTTCATCAACGTTATCTCAGCCTTTCTATTATCCTCTACGTTCGTCCTTGCTAAAAGTCCTTCCGAATTCTTTTCCCAAAGATCTTCGAGGCTCGAAAATTGATCCTGAGGATCTTTAGACCACGTTTCGTTTGGATCAGGGTTCTCCAGGATACCCTGATCGAATTCCGGGACTCTTTCGAACAGTTTTCGTACGTAGGCAAGGATCTCCTCGTACTTATTCGGATCTTCAGGAACAAACAATGTTTCTACGGGTCCGGAATCGTAATTTTCTTTTTCTTTCTTTGTGAAATCTAATGGTGACCCTTCTGTGGTAGTTGGTTCGAGTAATTCATGTTTCGTCGTTGATTTTGATTGCGCGGAAGTTAGGAGAACGAAGAGAATACTGGAAAGCAGTTATTAATTGAAAGAAAATTTATAAATTATCATTGTTTTAATAAACAATGTACAGAGAGAGGTGTGTTACAAAATAGATAACCATTAGTTGGGTAACATAATCGCATTAAGGACAAGGTGTAAACGCTTATGAAATAAAAGTTAAGTTTCTTTATTAAAAAAAATTGTAATTATACGTTATTGGCGCTAGAATTACCGGCGTTTGATGAACACTTATTTTTCAGATGAAAATAATATAGAAAATTAAATAGATAAAGAATGAAACATAATTTAACTGTGTTAAACACCTATACCGATAGAGATCTGATTGATCTTCGTATTGAAATTAATTGTAACAGTGTCGATGCTCGTTTTCATTAATTTCAAGCGAAAGTATAACCTCGTTATTGTAAGAGGAGATAAAACATCTTGCAATGTCATAATATTACGTGAATGACCGTGAGTTGCGGCAACTTTCTCATTGAATAAATTACATAAATCGTTAATGGTTTGTTTTAGCGCCGATTGAATACCGTTTGATTTGCATTCCGTCGCGTAAACAGCGTTTAATCGCTAGAAGAATCGTCGTCGAGCATCGTTATTCGTGTCACGGTGAAATCGAACTGGATTATCGATCAACGATGCACAGATACGCATTCGTAATATGCAAATACCCGTTATCAGCTTTTACCAGTTAATTACTCGCCGCGAATACCGATTTCGAAGGACAAACACGTATATAGAATAGTTTTACTTATTTATTATCTATTATACTAATAGATAACTTATTCACCTTAATTAAATGATCAATTAAATCGATTTAGCTGTTGGTATTAATCAAGAATATTTATAAGTTATTTATTATAGAAAAAGGAAATACTTTTATTTTACAATGTTCAAAGAATTCGTAATCCAAATAAATGGATGTCAATGAATGAATAGGACGTGTTTCAGTAGTTAAGAATTTACAGGAGGAAGAGATGAAAATCTAGGGTGATTAATGTGGATTAATTAATAGGTAGATAACAGAGAAAGGCTACAAGTAACCACGACCAACTAACACAAATCCTTTATTTGGAATGTCAAGAGATGTAACGGGACCACCGATTGTGAGATCTTACTACGATACCAAACAACGAAACGTTTCCCTTGTTCCCAGAAAAATATACAAAAAACCTTGAACCTTATTAGAAAAAAAAAAAAAAAAGGAAATTATAATATGTCAGCCAATAGAGTTCCTATATATCCTATAAAGTAAAGTAATGATAAATATGAGAATAAAAATTCAAAAGAACCAATGACAACGTGTATGTATATAGATATATAATTTCTGGACTCACAAAGAAGAAGATTGCATGTCTGTAAGAAGGTTGGCCGAATCGCAATTGAAATGAAATGAGGGATTCAACCCCTGGCTAGGTTCACCGGAGGCGTCCTTCGGTAAACGCGGCCTTCTCGAACACGGTTCACCAAGTACTAAGCCTCGTGGAGGCTGATCGACCGGTCTTATCCACGACCAAGGATGCAGGAGATATTTTTTTGTCCATTTCTTTTTTTTCTTTTTTTTGCTCGATCGATCAGTCGGTCGTGCACCTTTTTCTGGGATTTTTACTGTTACTCGGTTGCCCTCCGGCCGTCACCTCTGCGATTTCGACCAACTTCTTCATCGATCTACACTCCAACTTCTTTCTCTTTTTCATTCGAGCTTAACAGACGTAACAGAGACAAAGATGGCAAAGAATCTGTTCGCCGAACGAACACGTCACTTAATTCCTGTTAGAGTAGTCATTTGGAGGGAATTATGGTAATTCTTAGTTGGTGGTCGATGGCCTCTTATTTTTCTTTGATTAGGATCAAGCAATGGAGAGTTTTAATTATGGAGTAATTAATGGACTGTGAATGATTGTAGATTTAATATTAGAACAATAAAATTTGTCAAAATTAGAGATTGAAATTTTTTTTTAACTTTCCTTGTTCCAATATTAATTTTATATTTATTTTATCCCAGAAATTTCAAGATTACGATCGATGGTACGTACCTTTTCAGTGTCTGGCAGCTTTCTCTTGTGCTTGCAAGCTGGCAATCGCTTTTCCAGACCCGTACAACACTTTCGCCCGTACTTGGACTCTCCTGGTGGTTGTGCAAGAGCTTCCGGACGCGGAGGACCCGCTTCCGGTCCCGCCGCCGGAAGTCGAGCCTAACTGCAGGCTGGCGCCTGCATAATTCGCGCCCCTGCAACTCGTGCAGCCCTCCGACATTCTCGTTTCCTGAATATCCTTTCGTGTTAAACGCGAATTTGTTTCCTGAACGAAATCATATTTTACTATTTCTCAATCTGATTTATAACTATCAAAGATAGGCAGGTAATTCGACGAGTAGTAATTTTAAACGTTAATTTAAACAGCCGTGAAGACCAATTACAACGACTAATTAGGAACAGTGAAACATTCACGGTTGGTATCACCCTTTGCTCCATTCACCGAAAGCTATTCATCAATACGGTGGACGCGTTTCGCAGCTAATTGCTCGTGAAGAATACGAATTAATCTTGTGCAACGCGTTGCAATCATTAACATACGCTACGCAATCTTTTCGATCGCGTTTCTCGCTAATTAAAGGAATATCATCGATCATTAATGCCGCGTTCACACTACCTGCGGTTAATCTCAGACATTTCATCGGTACTTTCTAAATCCTCCTAACGTTTCAATTAGATAGAAAAAAAAAAGATACAAAGGTCAAGTGTTTCAATTTGATTTTAAAAACATAATTCCTCCATGGTATATATGCAAAGGAAATAACTGTGTGGACGAGGCATTATTATGTAGCCGGGCACAGCTCTGACCCGTGCGCCGTTCACCATAAATCCGGGAAAATCTGGGTTAATTATACTAATGGCAGTATAAGGCGAGCTTTCCTACCGGCGACCTTACCGGAAAAAGGCGAGACCTGCTAACTTCCCCGGCACGATCGTTAAAGCGAATTTTACAGCAACGAAGCAAGAACAATGTTCCTTAATGGAACGATATTCAACGATTTTCTGGCTGCTGCATTCGAGGGAAGGAGAAAGATTTAAGAGAAGACGGTGACCTAGAATTTTTCATACAACCAGCGAATATTTTTTCCCAACAAGAATAATATTTCCGAGAAATATTAATTTTAATTTTTCAATACAAGACGCATATGGTGCCTCATCAAATTGCATTGGATGCACAATGCAAGACGCACACGGTGCGTCACCAATTGCATAGGATGCACAATGCAAGACGCATATGGTGCGTCATCACTTTTCAATCAATTACACGTCTCAAAGGAACAAATTAAATTGATAAAAGATAATCAAACGTGATTACGAAGTTAATAAACCCTGAACAGGACGCACGTTGTGCGTCATCTGTCAACCTATCCCCAATATTAATGAAACTGGAAGTTTGGGAAAAAGAAAATAATTATCCCGAGTGATTTAGAAACGTACAGAAGGATCGTTATCCAACGAAGATACGAAGCATCATCCAGCTGGTGCTCTCTATGGTCCGGCTCGTACTCTATGGTAGCTCACTGCTGGTTCACAATCGGCGACGACGGCCACGTCCGAGCCGGTTGTGTACGTCGAACAAACTGATCGCTCGCGACGGCCTCGTGGTAAGCTGCACCACGGGCCGCTCGTCTCTCTTTTCTTCTTCGTCGGGGTCTTACTGCCGGTCGCCCTCGTCGTCGTCGTCGTCGTCGCCGTTGTCCACCGACAATAACGTGTCCCCGCAGGAGGGGACACCCGGGCAACCGGCCTCCACTCTTTTGCCTGCTCTGACTCACGATCCTGAAGTACAGTCGTTCCTGATAACACGACGCCTCTTTAGAATTTTGATAAGGGCATTCAACGCCATGATAAGGGATATCAACTGCATTCTATAACAGAACCTCTCACCTCGATTATCCTGATTAATAGAATTTTCTGAAATTTCTGAAATTCTGAAAAGATGGAAGAAGACCGGTATCTTCTAAAACTTTTCAATTCCTCCAGGTCTTAAGAATGCCTCCGAGAGGTATAAAGTGAAACGTGAGAGAAGAATTCGCGAGGAGAAAAATAAGGACCGTTTAAGGAAAAGCAAGGTGATAGCGGAGCTGACTGTACCGTGATATGGGGACATTGGCGAAGTAGGGGAGAGGGCATGCAGAGGCCAGAGATCGGTACGCGGACCCAACTGCGAAACCTAACCTTCGATCGGTAAAAATTCGACCGGCGAACGGCCAGACCTTGTGCCCCGTATAATTCTTTCGCAATCCAGCTGGTACACGTGCACGAGAGCCTTAAAGATCCGTGTAAAATCCAGCCCCATGCCGATCGTCGGCTTCCCGGTACCGGATCTCCTGGACGACCCTTTTTCTATCAACGTCTACACAATGAAACAATAAAACTCTATCATTCTATAAAAAAAAATAATTTAGAAATTAACTCAAACTCCAAATTTTTATATCTCATCTCTTAAACTAGAACAGTGGTTCAATTAACGTAAACCTCCCCTAATCGAAGGCTAATTAACAAAGTTAATGAAACGAGTTAGGATTAAAACTGAATGTAGAACCGAAGCTTCCGTACATAGGAGAGTGGATATCCTTTCTTGCTACACGTTCTAAGTTCCCCTGACGTTGGTACGGTTACGGTGGTCGCAGGAGGACGTCATCGCGAAAGAACCAGACGATCCAGTTCCCTGTCAATAACTAGAGCGACTTGAGACTCGGGTGAATCGATCTCATTGACACCGGATTTGCAACGAGTCTCTAGCCTCGTTCTACCAGTTGACCTACTGGTTAATCTCCTACCGTGCTTCCTGTTATCTCAACGTCCGCCACTTTGTTCTTCGACTTCTTGGAGTCTTTTTAAATTCTTCCAAACGGGCAAGGAAACATCCATGAATCATTCGAAATAATTTGCTCAACTACACAGCCATCCTTGTCGCAACAGAAGCCGTGACCGGTTGCTCGATCTTAATCCTCCGAGCGTTTCCCGGAGGAGAAGGAGAGCGAATATCAATCAAATTATTACGGCAATCTGGCTCTCGTGACAGGCTACGGAGCAATTTCCAGCACAATGCAAGCGTGTTTTGCAATCGTGGGACCGATCGAGAGAGACGCGTGAACAGGGATCCCAGATGCGTCCGGATGGATTTTTGTCAGTCGAACGGATCGTGGCTCGTTGTTTATAGCCTTCTGACGTTGTTATTAGCGATCCTGTTGTGAAACTAGGCTACCCGGTGATTCTATAAACTTCCACTACGTTGAACCTAAAATTATTGAAAACAGATTATTACGTTCCCCAGGAGAAATGTTTCAACCTCAAGCGGATTATTAAATGCACCGCCCTCGTTACAGAATTTTCATGTAAAAATTTCTTCGATTATTTGTTTAGTTGAAAAATGTAAGAGAGAAGGAGCGAGGTGAACCGAGCACACGGTATCCCGCTATCAGTATCGTCAGTGGGTCAGTTAACAACGGGGTCAGCGGAGGGCGAATCCGGACTGCGGGTCAACCAATCACCGCGTCAGCCTCCGTCCTCCTGACAATGACTATTAACTGTATATGCACCCACAAAAGCAAATTTACCTAGAGGCGATGCAATTACGAGTATTATATCATTGTAATAGTACAATGTTACGTGAACTGTAATTACTAGATGGAACAAGAGATGCGACAATTTTCATGTATTTTATGGAAATGTCTGTAGAGACGAATGGAACTTAGAGAACTCGAGATGAATTCTGATTACGGTATTCGACTTCCGGTTCAGTAGCCAGCGATGATTAACACTGGAACTACCAAAGAGGTCAAAATTGGTTTACAGTTTGTTATTTTAAATTATAAATTTTATCGAGGGATTTTTGGTTTTTTTCCAAAAATTATTCAATTCGAATTATTTTCTTAGATCTGTTATCGAAGAAACTGTTATTGGAAAATTGATTCGTGATCGTAGGAATGAAACGTGACCAAAGATGAGCATTAATCTTCGAAGAGGGATGGCCTAGCGCAGTTTTTCATTACCGGTGATCTCCTCTTGGGAGCTAGCCGGAAGAGACGAGCGTAGAGTTACACAAGGTGGGGGATAAATAAGGAGTAGGTGGCTCGACGAGATGAGGCGAGAAAGAAGACGGAAGTGGGTCACCGGGATTCTCGGTCGTGAGGGTCCGGGTTCGTTTCTCCTCTCCACGAGAATTACGCCGAGCTCCGGCTAACGAACTAAAACCTACAAAAAGACTCTGAGATCGAGACCAAGTAGGGTAACAAATAGATCAATCTTGTGAGAAAGGAGGATGAATTTTTTAAAAATGATCTACTCTTTGAAAATGATCCATAGAGTTTGAAGAATTGATTCGATCCCTCGAAGAAGTTGAAATTATTTTATTCTAGGAGATTGTATTGTATGTTTCTTCTGTGTCGTTGTATTATCGACGAAATAAGTAATCCATCACCTTTCGATAATTCTCATTTATATTTTTATACATACATAGACTTCTTCGAATATTTACAAATAGTTCATTCTCCTCGTTCGTTTTCCTCGTCCATATCGAAACACCTGTCTAAGGATGAAAATCTGGATTTCTCGTGTCTCACACAGTGTTCGTTTTTCCTTCCAAATAGTAACACTTAACTGCTAATGATTATTTTACACTCAACATCGATAAACACTCAGGTAGAGCTAATAAATTTTCTAGCGTTTTGTTAAGATTTCTTCTTGCGCTTTCATTCTACAAACTTGTTCTCTCTCAATCTCTCTCTCTCTTTCTCTCTTCGTTAGTCTCCTCTCTGCATGATACGCAGATCAACATTTTTATTTTTCCATGAAAATGCGCACCGATCGCGTTTCTCTCGTCGATCAGTACACATTCTGGTAAAATATAGAAAAAATCTCTTCTCTTGTCTCTCCCTCTCTTTTGTTTTCTCGATAAAAAAATATGTGCATCGTATATTCTCGTTTGAACTTAGCTGGCCCCCCTCCCCACGATGCACGATACCACTGTGTTCGATCTGACCTAAATTTTGAAGATTCACAAGGACGGATCTTAACGTTCCTATCGATTTCAATTGTAGCGTGCGACGAGCCGATATGGATAAATTAGCATACCTAGAATACATTTCTCAATAGTAAATCAAGCTCTAATTTAAAAATTTGCCTACCTTTTCTTGTTCTCTGAAGCTTCGATCATAATTACAAAACTTTCAATTACTGGACAGTGGTACCATGCGTTTATGGTGTGTTTTTACAATCCACTCTGCACCTAATTTATCACCAATGCATCGTCCAAGCCACGATTTCAGGAAGTGTTTGTAATTCTACCAAGAACGATTTTGATATAGAATTAAAACAGGAAACTAAAGTATACAATGCTTGCATTGTAAGCGAACAGAAAACAGTAGAATTGAATTCAGAGAACACGAAAGAGAGCGAACGATCACCTATAATAAAATATACACACCAAATTCTTTGCCTATCGAGAATGGACGTAAGTAAAACGCTCGCTTTACGTTTCAAATGCAGTCACGGTTAATCTCAGCGAGAATAAAAATCTTAATTAACGATAGTAATACTCTCATTAACTACGCAACAGTCTATAAAGCCTCTTTTTCGTCTGGATCACGTTTCTTCACTCTCTAACATTTCATTCCTCATTCTTTTATATCCTCTAAAGTTAAGCACCTCGAGGTGATCCTCGGTTAATTCCGTAGAATCCTTCTATTGTTCCCATCGAAAGACGAACGTACCAGAATCTCCTCGCGTATCTCGTTGAGAACAGAACGATGTTAGCAGAACTATCGAATAAAAGATACTGCTAACAAAGTCACGATCAAGCGGAACGCGCGTGTCGTTAAAAAATAAATCGCATCCTACGCGTTTACATGAATTTAAAAATATAAATACAAAATCTTCCCTATGTTCGTACACGCCTGTGCTCTCGGTCCGTTCGAAATGTCCAAGCTCTTCGTACGGTATACCTTGTCTGATCGCGAAGATAAATTGATAACAGCTTGGACACTTTGAATATACAATTGATACGAACGAGATCTTTTAAACATTTGACGCATTTTACACTCGGTGACGCGTATATCGATTAAAACACTGAGATCGGTAGCTAAAATATAACAGTACAATATTACCTTGAGTATTATTCATTCCTTTACAATCTACTTAGGTCGTAGTCGAATCGTAAACTCGGTTGGAATGTACGGGTCAGCTAAATACAATTTTAATCCCTGTCCGTCGGACGACCTGTCGCTCTTCTCTTTCATTCGTCTAATTAATTACGTGTAATTTACTTAGAGCCTCGAGAGGTATAACCGAAGGTTTCTCTTGTAGCCATTTACGTACACTTCAACGCGTTTTATACCTGGTAAATTATCAACTAATCGTTTCTTCTATTTGAACATGAAATAAAAAGAAAAATTGTCAAAGTCTAATCAGAAAGATATCACAGGTAACAGATACGCGTTGAAGTGAGTCAATCTTTCGCTACTATTGCCAATTATGTACGAGACGGAGTTTCTTATACTGATAGGGATTTTGTTTCATCGAGATCCCTTTTTTATCTAATCGTATCCGGTCTCTTTCATGCCTTACTTATGCTATAAATACGCGGTATGTTTGCTACTGTGCTCGAGAGCCGCAAGGACGTCTTGTTTCTGCCTCACGTACAGCCTGCCTTTCTTCCAAGGATTTTGAAGTTGAAGTAACTTGAAGTCGTCCCTGAGGCAACGCTCCCTGGCACCGATCACGGCGACCAAACAGAAATTCGGCAGCTCGTCGGCTGTATAAATGGGACCTTCTTGCCCTTTCAGAACCACAGCCATGTTAAGCTGCTTCACGACCAGGTTCACCACTTCTCTGGCCGTGGTTCTTGGTGTCACGTGCAATTTTAGGCTGGTTCCGGAAGCCAGGCCAGTCTCGTAGGCCGCGTAAACCTGAAAAGACATCGGATTCTCTTGCTAGAACGTTTGTCAGACTACGATTGATAGCACGAATATAGAAATTATCTGTTGTAAAAATCAGCGTTTGCAGTGACATTCAGTTGGCAGGGCAGCGACAGCACGTTGCTCGATACAGCTGGCTGTTATCAATGAATTAACAGTAAATAAAATGGAAATTAGTGATGAACTTGCTAACAAGATACTAAAAGAATAATTGAAAGTGACAAATAGACACAGAGTATATCATGTGCAATCAATTTTTCTTAATTCTACACATGAGCTTACAGAAACTCATATGTGTATATATAATATATAATTTGAAATTTTTCATGAAATTTCATGCTCAACCAGATCGATAATACACGTAAAGCGTTATTTTGAAAGCGAAACACAAGCACTGAAGATTTAGCGGTTGTTACGGCTTACTCGTATGTCTGCTACATCGGTCTGCACTAGAAGACCAAGAGTGAGCTGTTTTTAACTACAATCGGGTTAGACTTGTGTTCCCTACAAGGAAAAATATTATTTAAACTCAACGGGGTGGCACTCGAGTGGTGACAAGCTTTGTGGTCAGAATCAAAGTAAACGTGTTTAATCTAGGAAAGCTTGCGCAAAATATGATCTCTCATCTAATAGGAAGCAACTGTAAATAGGAATTCCAAGATCAGGATTCGTGTATGTTTTCTTTTAAAAATACACCATACAAGGTGAGTTAAAAATCATCATGCACTTTTAAGTATATTCTAAAATACATTTACCACGCTGTTTCTTTTTATATCACAATTTTTAACTCACCCTACCAGACCAACCCCATTAGTCACAAAGTTTAAAAATATCTTTTTTGCTTAAATTACACATGCGGTTTAATGATTACCTGAAGAATACCAGGTAAAGGAGCCGGCATCATCGTAGCCTCGTCCTTTTCCTCCTCCAGCTGGCTCTCAAGAGATCCAGTCGCCATTGCTGCGACACTGGCGGTGGGTTTCGTCGATTTGCTTTTCGCGTGGCTGCTCTTTATGCAAACGCTCGAATTTGGCGTCGAGTACTCGTCGCTGCTTAGCGAGTGCAAACTGTCGGAATTAGTGTTGCTGACGCTTAGGAGACTAGTGGTGTTTGTCATGGCCGTTGATACGCTCAGAAGCGAGCCACCATATATCATGGGCTTTATACTGAGCAAAGGACTGGTGCTCGCTGACGCGGAGGTGATCGTGGCCGACCTATTTCTGGGGCTGTGTTTGTATTTCGTTAGGATCAAAGTGTCCTCGGATTTAGAAGGCGGTAGCCTGCTGTTTTGCAACGGTACCAGATGATTGTTGCTGCCACCGCTGGTCGTGTTGCTCAGGTTGCTCGTGCTGCTCATGGGTATAGAGGATTTCGGAGGTTCCGAACCGGTCGACACGTTCGAGGTGTTGCTACCTTTGCGAACGTACTGACCGCTGGGCAATTGTTGCTCGCTTTTACTGAACTCAGTCGTAAGCAGATTCGAGGAGGAGTTCGCAACGTTAGGTCCTGGCCAACTGCCTCTACCTGGACTGGATTTCACGAGCTTTGGATCGCGAGGAGGTAACTGTAGCAAACTTCTCTTCAGGCTGTTGCTATTGCTGTTGCTTTTGTTCCTGTCGAGGCTGAGCAGGTGCTTCATTGAAATTCCAACGGTTTGCGACGCGGCCTAAAATCATTGATCAGCTTCTAGGTAACGAAGACGCTCGACAGCCGATTAAATTTCCAATCAATATTACTTACGCTTTGCTGCGAAGATCCACGATCCCTCGCAAAAGTGATCACGTCTATGAGCCACCTGGCACCCTTCCACACTGTATTCACTTGGGTCTGAAGATCTTGCAACCTCGCCAACTTATCCTTTGCCACGCTCAATTCCAATGAACTGAATGCTTCTCTGTGGTTGTGCTGTGCTTGAGCGGTATCGAGCTCTAAGATACAACTCAATCTCGAGTATCTGCTGATCACGTCCCTCTGATACGTGTTCAAATGAACCATTTCGAACACTTGGATGGGCAACGACAGAAGATCACCGCGTTGAAGGAGGATCTCTCTGGTACCAGGTACGCAACAGGCTGTCTCAGCGGGTGGTACAGCGATCAGAAAGGACACATCGTGAGTCAAATCGATAACCTCGGCATCGTATAGTCGATGGATCAATGAATCTTCAGGATTGATCTCCATGTAATTGAACAATCTTCTCGCGGTAGCAGACACTAATTCAACGAACAATTTTTGTTGCTCGGTGCCTTGCAATTCATTGGTCACGTTCTCCTTTTCTTCGGGATCTTTCACAGAAACGTCCGACGCGTACATACGAGTTATCCTTTTAAGATAATCCCATTCCTCTCTGGAATGAACCAAGAGATAAGAATCTATCGTTAATCTATACAAAAATATTATCTCCTCTGAAGTGACACTTACGCAGAAACGTGAGGATTGTCACGGATTTTACAATGTGGCAAAACGTTAGGCGATTTTGCTGGCACCACAACCTGAATAAGATCCACGCTACTTTGCATTTTCAAGTAGCCAAGGTAAAGTCCCTTTGATAGTTTAATACTGCTAACTTGATGATAGGTCATCTGTTCCTGTATACTGGCTATTAAAATATCCGCTACGTTGCTGTCTTCGTGAGGTATGACTTTCTTTGTGACTTTGCTGAGAGGTAACCATCTGCTGTTCAGTACTGAGATCAGTTTCGGGGATTTTATGTAATTCACCGTAGAGAAGACCAGGGTCCCTTGGACGTCTCTGATAGGTTTGTGGTACAGTTGTCCAAGATCCTGTATGCACAGTGCTGCCTGCGAGGATCGCAAAAGAAATATGAATTGTTATTCTTAACAATGGATATAAATTGAAGAAAAAATGAGTGTACTATTCATCGCATAGAAAGACAAACCTGCATTTGCGCAGCTGCCTGCAACAATTTTATCCTGAAATGATTCGTCGAGCTGCTGTGACTTTTCTCCATGTCCTGACGGAGGGTCTTAACGTCGTCCCAGGTGCAAGCAACCTTCATCAGCCAATGGAAATCGTTGTAAATACAGCTAGGATAAGTCTCGTCGACTTCGATCACAGGCAAAAAATCCTCGTTCGTCACGAGCACCTTGTCCTCGTGGTATAGCAAGCAAGCGAGGAAAACTCCGCGTCTGAGATTCTTCTGAAACTTACTGGTCGCCGTGAACAGCTGCTTTATCGTCGTCTTTTTCTTGTGATTACGCCGCTGTACAGCCGGCGTCTCTTGAGTGTACTCCGGTCGCCTTATGTCCGTGAACAGAGTGTTCAATTGTTCCAATCGGCCGGCGAATCTTGGCACTCGGCCATCGATGTCCCTCCAACCTGGAAACGATCATTCTCTGTCTCGGAAACGTTCACACTTTCCACGGGTCTAATAATAAATCAATTCTGACACAACGATTAATCTATGAGCAAGTGCCAGTTCCGAAATTAACTTCGTTTCAACGAATAAATTTAGACTCGACCTAAATATGAATCGAATCGATTATTTACTCCTAACATTTCTCAGTTATTCTAAGCTCAACAGATGTAATAATGAACAATGATCGTACTGCTAGGCGTAACGTGGGCAGGTGTCGAGTTCCTGAACCTGCTGTAACCCTTCAGGTTGCCAGCAGCAGCTCGAAAATAGTATTTCTGTCCCTGCATCAGGTCGTCGATCCTGCACTCTCTTTGCTTCATGTCCAGGACCTCTCTTTCTCCACAGATCACCGAGAAGTCTTCCTTGGTGCTCCATTGTACCTTGAATTTGGTGCAGATCGGTGAATCGTGAGAGTCCGGCTCCTGGAACCTTACTGTTACAGAATTTGTTCCTGTCACGTCGACTGCCACCAGGAACGGCATATCTGGTGGCCCTAGGACAACAAATTAAGAAGAGAACATTTCAATTTCAAACGATTTCATTGTTTTCAACGGTATAATGTTCGTCGATGGGACTTACTCGCTTGATCGAATCCAAGAAGCATCTTTCTCAGAGCTCTAGCTCTTCTTTCCCATTGAGCAAGTTGCTTGTCCTCCGCGCTACCGCCGCATCCCGTCAGATTGTTGTGCTGAGACGAAAAACTTGATCTATGGCTGCTCGGTGGCTCCAACAGGGTGGTCCCACCGCTACCGGAAGTACTCCCCCCGAGTTCTTGAACTCTGTGTTCCGCTTCCGACAGCAACGACGCCAAATGACTGCCCAGGGACTCCGGAGACTTGACTGTTAAAATAAAATCATTTTTTTAATAAATAAATGGCTCTTAATTAAATGACTGATTAATTATTCCTTTTACGTTTTTATCACGAATATAGTTTAATAAGGGACGTAGAAAATCGTTCGAAGGTTGCGACGATCGTTCGAGAAATCACGTGGAAAAGGAGCAACGAAATTCAGAATGGAGTTGAAAGAGTGAAATGCACGAATCAGCGTGGTTTGTGAGCGGAGGAAAAATCGTTCAGCTAATTGAATTCGATTCAACTGTTCCCGATGCTTATGAATGCAAAATCTATGATGAATTCCGGACAGAATGGCCGGTTATGTATCGCGGATCCGTTTCACCGCAATTGTGTCCACACCGGAGATATCGATTTCCACTTTCTATCCAGACACTTTATCTTCCAGCGGATTATTTTACGACTTACGCCTTGCTTTCCGCGAGAAATACGATTCGAAAGATTAACCAGACAATCGTTGAAAAATTAAAAACCATCAGAATTTTATTCGATCGAGACTTAAAAATTTGATTTTTATTTTAATGGAAAAAGGAGGATTTTAATTCCAGTGACTTTAACGCCAGCATAAACCATTATTATTAAACTGAATTATAATGCATGGATCAGTAGCTTTCCAATTATCTTCCCAAGGATCATACTCCTAATTGCATCGAACACTGGCTTAATATGAGATCTTCGTAGTTACATCTCGTAATATCAACGTTAACGATCGATTTAACCGCAGACACGATTGATAATACCAATCTATTCACATCCGACTACTGTTATGCAAATTGGACTTGATTTGCGATGTCTGATCAATTATAAAATCATAAATATTCCAGCTATCGTTAATCAGTCCGTCTTCGTTCATTTGGAGCACAATTGCAGCTTTTGATAACTTTTTTAATTGCTTCATACTTAATTATTCTGATCGCTTTTTTCTTATAATTAGTCGTTAATTTAATATCAATTATTGAACAGAGAAGTTTGAATCAAACGTGACCCAAATTTACAAAGCATATAAAAGAATATTAAAATCGGGGCTCTCTCCATGGTCCGCCGTCCGAGAGTTAATAATTGCAGCCCTTACTGGAATTCCATATTCCATTCATTTTCCTATTCCGATTACTTTGTTAGCAGGTTTTTTGAAAATTTTCCTGCTCCCCGCTCAAATCTTCATAGTTATATTCATGTCTGTAACGCCAAGATAATTTTTATTGGTTGATAACCGAGTATTTGCCCGCAGGGACAACTTACGTCTCTCAACCTCATCACAAAAAAAATTTAAAAAAAAGAAAAAAGAATTGGAATTCCATATTCCATTCAATTTTTTCCCCTTTATCCAAGCTACCCGAAACTGGCACGAAGCTTTTGAAACATTGCACCGAATGTAATGAAAGCCTCATATGAAGAATCCATATTTCTCGTTCCACCGTGAAAAGCGAATCAGTGTTTCGTGCAATTATACCATGGATGGGAATAAAAAATTGCTGACGTTCGCCCATTCATCAACCTCTTTTCGCGTGTTTTTACACTCCCAGTAGACAATGGGAAAATTTGCGAGACTATTGTTTCACAAAACGAAGAGGTATCGATCGGAATACCTTCAATGTGTATCACTGTTTATCAAAGAACCGAGTTCCTGAATGAAATTCCGCCGCTCTTTTCGGTTTCCTCGTTTCAATCGGAAATACAAGATCGAAGACGATAAATGGATATTTTTTAAAGAGAATACTTACATTGATTGCCTTCTTGCGCACCAAACGCGACCAGCATTTTTGCAAGGGGCCTATTGTTGCTGAGCACCGCCACGTCCAGGGGTGACAAACCGTCGCTGTTCACGCTGAAAATGAAAATTAATCGCATGAAGACAGAGAAAAACTGACGCATCCACTGTACAAGCGGAACTGTTCTCGAGGACGCGTTCGTCGATCCATGAAAAACAAACCGAGGTAATCGGCATCAATTTCGTTCTTGCATAAACGCGCTATCGCGAACTGCCATTAGCAAAACGAGAGAAGTGGATAAACGGATTATTGTTGCATCGAATGGACATTCAACGACGATCACGAGGCTAGGCTTGTATTTGCACCGGTTGCAACGCAGATGTCGGATTCACCGACCCATATTATCCGAATCCAGGATCGATTTTTATTTCCCTATGAAATGAAAAATAGCAGTCAGATTTCCTTTATCAAGAAACACGTCTAATTTTCATTTTTTCCTCGACTTTCTCACTGAAACACTGGTGTTTGCTCTTTTATCTTCGTTTCGGTTGAAAAGAAAGAGAAAATCTTGGCTTCGATATTTTCTTGTTACCACACAGTGTTCTCTCATATTTTCCAATTATGAAAGAAATAACTTTTCAGAAGGAAAATTCAATGCTGTAAATTTTCTTCTTCGAAATAAAGTACTATTTCTTTGGGACGAAGAAAATGATAGTTTAAGTGAATTATATGTTTAATCAAAGCTCGCTAGTGTCGGTGATGTTGTGGAATATCTGTGTCTATGGTGTCCATCTACTCGAGAAAACCTAATTATCGTTGGCAATCCAACGAGCCTTCGTTCAGCGATCGATACGATTACAATGTAGAAGCTGTGTAACAGGTCGAAATGCGTATAGGGCTTTGTCTCGGCAGCGATCGTCACATCGAACGCCAATTAACGCGTGCTAACAGAATCCAGCCTGACGGTAAATGAAAATTTATGCTCTACCGTGTACATCCGCTTCGTTCTCCGCCTTTATTGCGCCATTCGATGGTTAACCATTTGATTGCTGAGAATTCTAGGCTTGAACGTTCTGTGCTTAAACGCTTATTACTTTTCTTTTTATTCCATTTCATTTCTCAGTTTATTTTTTCATGTTTTTTTCAGTGATAACATGTGGTGTGTAATTAGAAATATGCGTTGATCACTTTTATTTAATTATGATTAGTATATACAAGAAATAATCTAAAGGGTTAATAACTAGTAATCACTAGATTCTGTTTTAATGAAATAAGAATTGATAAGAAAAATTGTTTGCACACCGGCGTAACTAAACGGATCTGGTTTCTTGGAATTTTAATGTATTAAGGTTCTAAGGTTTTAAAATACCCAAATTTTCAAATTTTATTATTAATTTCCCTAAAGAAACCTGATTCGATCGCGAGTGCACTATTTCGAGCAGAAGAGGTAAAAAGTACAAGTTTGTTGAGTAACTAATTAAAAATTCGAATCAATGAACTTTCGAGACCGTTACGAAACTTTCAAGTCGAAGCTGACGTTGTCCAATCCTCCGTTAATTGGCTTGTTTTCTGGGACTGGCGAGAAAATTAATTAACAACTGTAATTAACCTACATTACGACGCGTGGAGAGCCACTGTTTGGCTAGTTGTTCGTGTTTTCGAATAAGTTTCGCAATTTCTGTAGCATCGCGCCTCGTTTTGTCTCTTAATTAAATGAAAAACAAATCTGAAAATCGTATCCTAACGCTCTGGAAAACGAGAAACGAATGCGGGGGCGGGAAAAAAAGGTGTTCGAAACACATTCGATCGACTCACCTGTTCACATCCACGTCTGTCGATTCCAAAATTGTTCTGGCTTTGTCGAGATGACCGTGCTCCACGGCTACGAAGAGTGCTGAAAAATAAAATAAAAATTCCCCGGTGAATACTCGTAGCACGATAAAAATCATTCTTCTCTTTAGAATTCTACAATATTGGAGAAGTTAGAAACCAGCATCCATTCAGTATCCCTATATATCAATCACCGTTTGTTTTCAATTTTCCATCAAACGAATAAAAATACATTTTTAAACTTAAGTTAAGATACAATTAATCTTCGAATAATGAGGGAGACGATTGAATAATTAGACTAACAATGGTCTAAAATAAAAAGCAAAAAATTGAATCATCCACTGGATAATTGCTCAAGGGTTAAAATAACAGAAAATTAATAAAAATCAACAGGGGAAGATGGTAAATAAAAAATTAAATAAAAGATACCCTGCAGATGTATGTTGAGAGACTGTGCCGATAGGGGATTGATGTGCACCGACGAAATACTGTTCGATTGTTGATGGGGTTGTTGCTTTTTCTTGCCGAAACCCTCCAGGAACTCCATCCCTTGCAAAGAGTACAGCTCTGCATGAACACAAACAACAGAAACTGAATAAAAGAAGAAAAGAAAATGGAAACGAAAAGAGAGCAATTGGAGGTAACGCGAGTGCACGATAAATAAAAGAAGTGCAACCGGGAAAAGAGTGAACGGGGAAAAAAGGGATTTTACCAAGGACTGGCTTTCTGCAACAGCTTAACAAAGCTTTGCGTTGGTTGAACTTGTTATGGTGACCAACTGTTGCATAATACAAGAAGAAAGCGGAAACACGTTTGTTGGATTTGTAACAATGCTTTCTCGTCGTTTTGCCAAGCTTCTCCTCTTTCGATTTTCTTTCGCAAGATTCAACTTTCGACCATCGAAATTTCAATCTTTTATTAGAAACCGTAAGATTTGGAAAATACGAAACGGACGAGCGAAGTTTATTTAAATTTGTCCGACTAATTAAAAAGCTGATGAGCCGTACTTGATCCAGAAGCAGTTGTAACGAGTTGCCTATCCTGCCCGATGGATTCGTCCCTCGAATCTTTCATCGACTTCTTTCTCCCCGCCGACCCTTTATTACGGAAGCTGCTACCCCGGGCGTTTGTCCAAAAGTTCGTTATATTATCCACCGTCCTGATCCTGCAGGACTTGGAGGAACAGACGGAAGTTTTCCTAATTTTCTCCGACGATTTCCGTCCCTTCGAGGCTAAATCGTCGTCCCGGTGGGACTGGCAACAGAAATTCCTCTCGTAATCGTTTAAATCCAAACTCCTGCCAATCTCTTCGTCCTCCTGCACGATTACGTCGTTCACCGACAAGCTCCTCGCTTTCGGGCTGTTGAACAAAGGACGATTGTTCTTATTGCACTCGAAATTCTCCACCCCTTCGAACACCGTCGTCTCGATGATCTCTAGTTTCTCCGTTTCCTTCTCGTAACATCGTCGAGAATCCACCAGCAGAGTCAGCACGGTGTCCTGACAAGGATTCTCCAAGAATACCTCGTCCTTGCATTCGATATCAATCTGACTGGAATTCTCCGGGTCGAATAAGAAACTCGACACGGACGAGTCCAACGAGCTATCCAAGCAGAAAGTAGGATTTTCATAGGACACGCGTCCTCCGTCAGGACGAGATACATCCTTTTTCTCCGTACAAGAGATAGTTGCATTTTCCTCGTTGCTTTTCCATCGAAAAATATGTCCCACCTTCGGTGACAAAGGATCGCTGTTTTTCTTGGAATTTTTCTCGGTATCCTTGCGATTCCTCCTCATTATCCTGTCGGTCAGGCATAATTTGTTCTTCAATTCTTTGCTGATCCTGCGAGACTCGAGCTCGTTCAACGACACCGAATCCCTTTCAGGATCCTCCGGTATCCCCTCCTCCGTGATGCATTCGGTGTTGCTACCGACAGGACTCGAGGATGATTCCTCGACGATGGATAATTTGTTTCGTCCTTTATTCGAACGTTGATCACGCGAGGCGACCGGGGACAAATCGAAACCGGCGTTACGATTTAAACGAAGATTCGCGTGACTCTTCAGCTTCGACATAAGCTTCATCGATGCTCGAAAGGACCTCGACCTCTTCAGGGTCGACATCCTTGTGTCGTTCGACGACCGCCTCGAGAGCAATTCCATCTTCGGGCTGGATACGGACGATTTGCGAAATTTCATCTGGAGGATCCTTCGAATACTATTTATTTTATTATCCTCGTAAATTGCACTTGCTGTTCGGCCTCGATTAAAAACGATTCAAGATAAATATCTTTAATCTTACATACAGGTACAGGAGCTTTTTCTTTGATCTTTGGCAAGGAAAGATTTTGAACGAGTGTCTCCCGGGACCCTTCGGGGCACTTCTTTGGTTCGAGCTGAAAATAGAAACGACGAATCGATCGAGGAACGACGACAGATTCGATTATCCTCGCTCTTTTATCACGGAAAACACGATCAACATCTTCGAGGTGTAATTAATAACGTTACGTGCCGATATACTCGGGTAATCAACAAGGTTAGCCGCTTTCTTCGGAGCAAAAACGATGTTAACGACGACGACGACACGTGCAACGAGACGATAAACGACACGAATGCCAAGAAACGAGATCACTGCACATGGATCACATCTCGAGGTTCAACGGCGTTTAATTGATCACTGAAACTTGGATGCACCAATTTCGAATACGGTTAAACGAGGAGGTAGAAATCTATTTCGAAGAAGCGTTTGGGATCAGTTGAGACAAAGGACTGATGAAATTGATGCGTGTCGTCCGGGACGTCGCGTAAGCCGAATGAAACGATTTTATTATTTACTTAGGCACCCGGACGATTCCAGTGCGCCAGCCTACAATTGCCCATTACGAAGAAGTGGCCTGAACGCGTCGCCTCTTCCTCCTCGAGACGAGCGTGACAATTTGTTAGCCCAATCAAACCTATTGCCAGCGTCCGTAGACTGGTCGTTGGATCGGACAAGATCGAGGGCATTGTATCCGGATAGAATCGGTATCGAGAATAAGGTAAAACTCGGGGGAAATGAAGGTAAAATCTTCCAATTTCTTGGAAAATAAAATCAGAATTTTCCTTTGAATATAAAGTTCTTAATTCTCTTATATTTCTTATAAAAACTCCTTTCCAGAAGAAGAGGGAGATTACATTTTTCTGCATAATGGTGCACCGAGTTAACACTGTCACCGAGTTCCTGATTGATCAGCGCAGGAACCTCTTCCTCCTGGAGATAATGGCTACCACACGAACCCCATAGAGAACTTATGGGCTATATAGCGAGGAAAAGGATCGGGTAATGCACCATAATCGTAAAGCCGAGAGAAAAGCTTCTCGAATAGTAGAACGAAGGAATAAAGAACTGTTGTAAAACATTGGTTAACAAGGATGGAAAATACAACCTTCCTGGAACGTAATTAATTGTTATCTATTTTTTTTTTCCTTTTTAAAAAAGAATATTAATAAAAGGATAAAAGGAAATAATTTGCACAGACAAGTTTCTAGATTTACCATAATATTGGAGGAACTTTGCGAAAATGAACGAGATAAATGAAATTCTTCAAAACAAATCTCACCGACGTAACAAAACTGATACCCTGTCTTTTCCTTTCTCTCAAATCAATTAATTTTATATTCGATAAAGAACGTGCGTTACCATCGTCGGTTGAAAGTGTTCAGTGGTAGAATCGAGATATTCTGGGAATATAAACTCGATTAGATCTAACAATCTAATTTTATCGCAAATCAAACGAAAATTCTGACGGAACACGGATGAGCAATTAGTATCACTCGGTCGTGAAAAATCGATCGACACTTGTTACAACGAGCGACGACGAGTGCAATATAAACAAAACCAGGGAAATGATATTATAAACGCCTGGATGATTAGATAAAATGCAAAGCTCGACGAAAGAACAGATGGTCGTTTGTTAATGTAAACACGGAACGAAAGGGAAAGAGGTAAAAGTGTTAGAGAAAAATTAAGAAAAACGAGCGCTTCCACGCACTCGGATCGAATCGAGAGGAATAGAACCACCCTCCTAGGATACAGATGGACTTCGTTAGAAGTTAACGAGCCAATTACGGCTCGTCCGATTGATAATGGGATAATTAAAGTCCGAGGTAAGTAGATTCGTTGGAGATTCGCTTCGACGTTGATTCGCGAAACTTAGATCAAACGAGGATTAAAAAGAATTTCTTCAGTAGGTTAACAGAAATAGACAAAGTTTGGTTAAAAGTTTGCGTTATTAGAAAAATTGTTTGCTTTTTAATTGCCGCTTAGCGCCGATAACGGTACACGAACGTCTTCGTCGATCTTCAGAGCAGAAAAAAAAAGAAATAGAGCAGAAACGAAGAGGAACGTTTCAACGCTCGTTGCGGCTAATAATCGCTAACAATGCTTCCGTTGCCCCTTTCTTCTTCGTGATTGTGTCTCACGATTGTTATCGTGAATCATATCGAGCAGATTTCCAGGAGAATTGAAGATAATAACTGGAAGTATCTCTTATGCTTTTACTTTTCACGATATATAAAGTCATCGATATAGAAACTAATATCGTGTACGATTTAATTAAATCTTGGCAACACTTATCTTCATAAATATTAATCCGAGCGATAAGAGGTTAATAAAACCGATACGATCTTTCTCCTGAAAGAAGCGTCACGATTCTCATCGTGGAGCAATAATTTTTCGAAAAGAAAAAAAAAGAAGAGATTACTTATCAGAGGAAAAAGTGCGATAGAAAGGTGGTTTGCGTTTCGAGACATCGACTGGACTCGGCACCGATCCAACGATATTACTTTCCTCCGGGGGCGAATTAGATTAGAACTTTTACTACTTCCTCGAGCAACGTTCGAGGAACTTCTCTTCGCGGCCATTAAGAGAACGCCAACGAAAGTGGATTACATTAGAGAAAATTGCAGCTCGTTCGAAGGATGATGAATAAATCTGTCGATGGAACGTGCACGCGACCAGCCGCGTTAAAAGACGAGGAAAAGGTTGCATAGAAATTGTAATCTGGGTAGCCCTGGATTTCGGTGAAAACGTTCGTACAAGCAGAGAGACACGAAACAGAGTAACCGGAGAAACGAGCTAACAAACGAGTATTCTATTACGATTATTTTTCTTTTATTTCCACGGTGAACCTGGACGCTCTGTCAGCGATGCAGAAATCCTGAAAATACTGATTCCCCAACTCTAACGGGCCTCTTCTACGCTGCCTGCCTGTCTCGACGATCAAATAAAAATATAAAAAGTAAAAAATCAAACGATTATCTGCACTTTTCTGATCTCCGAAGCGATTCTAATCGGTGATACCAAGTGTTATCCAAGGAAACGTTACTTAACATTTTCAATTTATTTTCTCACATTTGAATCGCCTCTTATGCTTTATTTCTGCTGGTAGCACCAGTTACTTGCTGTTTGCTCTATATAAAATGAATTCCAGTTTAACGAAGAAAGCTGAAACACAGAGAAGCGGAAAAGAGCAGTCTGGACAAATAGCAATTAAAGCGTTCCTATACCTTTTGTCGACGCTCGTTATTTACTCCCTTTTATGACATCTTCCTCGTTATCACTTCGATAAACAACAATCTACTTCCTCCGTTCGGTTACCGTTCTCCTGCTATTGTTAATACATCGTTGTTCCGTGACGAGTACGTCCCTGTTACGAACCACCGAGCGTGGAATTAATGAATCGGTGAGAAAAACTCGCCGGAAGGTGTGCAAAATGGAAAAGCATAGGCTTTTATTAGGATTCTTCGTTACTTTCCAAGGCCTCGATTAGAATGTTCGATACGGGAGATTAAATTAGAGAAAACGAGCCTCTCTATGCATGATATTTGAAATTTTCTACGATATCGTGTGACAAAATTTATGAAATAAATATTAAATTATTTAAAATAAAATTCAGGGTCAAATGCACCTAAGATTCTGAAATTTTTACAATTTCACAGAGTGTGATCCCACAGTTTCAATCAATATTTTCAATTAGAAAACTAGGCTAATTGGAAGCTGGAAGCAGCCCGTCGTTTCATGGAAACAGCCGTATCCTTTGGAGACTTTGTGCTTCTTATCGAAGAACCAGCGATAAACTGCAATCTACCGGCCTTCCGGCGCGCAACTACGGTTCTTTGACATCGGCTAACGCCTCTTTCCGCTCGACAAATGTTTTCAACTTGTTCAACTTGAGAAAGCTATGGAAGAGAATTTTGAATAATAAACCAACGGAACTCTGAATCGAGTTTCAGAAACTTGTTCGCGAAATTTATTGTGTAAGAATCTTAAAGGAATCAATAAAACAATGAAGAGAAATATGGGGTGGAAATATGGTCGATGGTATTTGTTCGTAGAAAAAGAAAATGACTGAAACTGGTTGGAAAACGTCCATGAGCGATCTACTTATGGTTATGCAACCTTCCTTGCATGGAGGTTCACCTCGCAAGGACGCACGTGTGTCCGTTCACTACCGTTCAAATACCATCGATGGCAAATCGATCACTCCAGTTTAGATATCGTTCATCGTGTTTCCCGAGAAAGAGAAAGAATCCGACAACCATTTTTATCATACACGCTTTAAAAATTGAACGCGCTTTATTTAGCAATAAAAGATAAAAATGATTGTTTCAATATGAATGAAAGTTAAAAATTACCCGTATGTCGAATGTTCCCTTTAGGACACACTATGGTCCCGTTTATAATTGAATCTTGTTACTTTCATTTATTTTCCCGCGCTTCGAAACGAGAACGCTTTTATCACCACGTGACGTTATAATTTCAATTATAAACTCGTAAAATTGTTAACAGTGTAATTAAATCACCGTTCGTTGAACGATTTAGGGAATTTTCAATATTCGTTTCACGGTAATTGCATTATTCTTTGGAATGAAAAAATGGCGCGGAAATTTGAATTTCGTACATCGGTCGAGTAAATACAATCGATAAGTGTTGCGTTACCGACCGAGGAGGACGATTGTTTGGAGGCAACCGCGTCCCCTGTTCGAAACTTAACCTGTCTGTCACAGCTTTTTCGCAATAAATTCGTTGTGTTTCAAACGCCAACCTCCTTTTACCAGTCGCCCACTAACGTTTCTCTGTGATGTGGTTAGTTTTCACAACATCGTACAACAATTGCTTCATCCATCCTTTCCATGTCCTTCGTTGCTTCTAACGGATAACCATTTTCACTTGCTTCTTCTTTTCCCTCGTCTCTCTTCTATTTACACTTGCACACACTGTTAGCGACGGGTTTATATTTAAACAGGTAACCAAATGTCACGTTTTCTTTTTTTGATAAACATTGTTAGGCACCAGTTATCACAAGTGAAATACACGCGATGCTGTGCGGACAGCAGCGACAGCGATGTGGCATTGCTGGCGGGTACACATGGAACGCGACCCTCGCCAGTGTGGCCGAGCAAACAGCTGCCGTCTATCCCCACCAACTGGACGCCCCCATCGTTTTGACCGTACCCTTCCCCCGGCGCACCTTTTTATCAATGAAACATCACAATTTTCGAACCACCCATCGTTTAAATTTAATAAATACATTTTTAAATATTCTTTAAAAAATGAATTAACCGCTGGGTTCATTTTAATAAAAAAGGGCCCCAAGGGAAAAATGAGAGATTATAATTATTGATTTCGCATGCTTAATTCTTTCCTTTTTTCTTTTTTAAATTAATGAGTAACGATCTGACGTCAATTTCGAGAGAAAAATCTCTTCATCCAGAACCCGCAATATTTCCACTGTCAATATTTGACCAAAACCCTCGAGCGATTACTGTTCTTTGATTGAACATCTGTTTCTTGCCTAGATATATATAATACTTCCCGCTGATGGGTGAATTTAATTATTAGAGATTGATTATATCCACCCATCTGTGTAATTAACTAGTTTTTTAATCAGTGTAAGATTTATATTAACATTCCTGAAAGTTAACAGAGGAATACAGATACATTTTTCTTTCGAGCCCATAAAACGTGATAGCCAAGAACGTGGATGTGTACAATTGTGGGCAGGTATACGAAAGTACAAAGCCAGGTATGAAACGCACGTTTCCGGTGACTTGAGAAACACGTGCGTATCTGATTGTGAGATATTTAAGGGAAACAACTCTCGCATGTTAATAATTATTCTTTATATTCAGAAAAGGAAGCGTGCAATGTAGACAGTTTGATTATTCAAGAAAATGCAAGTGCATAGTTTCTACTGTTATTAAAAATCTCTTACGTAGAAAATTAATTTTCTACGTAATTTAATTGTCTTATGCTAATGAAATGTAATTCTGTGAAAAAAAAAAAAGAAAACAAGGTAGAAACAAAATTCTTGTTTGCTCGTTTAATCCCTCTGAATGCAAATCCATCCAAAGTTGTACGGCTTTCAAAACAGTATTACGAATGAAAAAGCACAGGGTTAAGGGAAAGTAGACGGCCATCTCGTTAAGTGAAACTCCGTGAGGAAAGGCGTCTATTGTTCAATGAGAATTTAATTTCCACTCTTTCGGATGCACCAGGAACAATGCACTTTTGTTCGCACGAAAGAGAATCTCCATTGCTGATTATAATCGAAAAGGAAACTTCTATTTACCATACGTTCGTTGGTAATCTTTGTCATGGGAAAACTCTTCTAACCAAGCGTGATAATTTCTGGGAACAATTATTAACCCTCGAGTAGCTGGGTCAATGATGATCCAGACTCTCGAAACATGTGCACTCGGGTGCAGCATAGGTTAAGGGTCAAGGTAAGGGTCGGGACGTCCCTTCGTTCTTGAAAGAACAAAGGGAGAGACTGGGGAGACCCTGATTTAAAACGTCCTATTTAAAATTAAGTATACTCGAATTTTCAAGTGAAAAACTTTCATATATTGGAAAAATAGAAAAAAACATTATTCCCTAACCATTTGTTTCTCAATAAATTGAACAACATTAAGTTAATTTCTAAACTTCGCATGGAATGTTTCGTACCCAAAGCGCAATTAAGAGAAAATGCAATGGGTTACCCGAAAGATCTGTTTTCCAGTTTCTCATTAAGAAGACAAACCGCTAGAGACATCGAGTAATTAGTCGAGCAAAGTGTACGCATTAATCGTCGCGAATACCGACCATTTATTTTTCGATTGAAAATAATCAATGTTTATCAAGTTGAATTTTCTCGCGATTAACGAACGACGAATTTTCTCAATGCAATGGATAGCCTCGAGTGTGAGGATCGATAAAACCTCGAAGAGCAACGGTTTCAAAAGCGTTTCCCACGATATTTTAATGAAAAATTCACTGATTCGTGAAGCTTTCCTGTCTATCTACTTCACTTTGTGGATCATTACGTCCGCATTTTTTTTTTTTTCATACACTAACTTTTATAAAAAACACTTTAATGGTACGCGTCACGTATTTTGACGCTTACTTCTTTACGTTATTATTTATTCCCTTATTTTTATCAACTTTATCGAATATCAGTTACGCTTTGTAAACTGGTTATTTTCTGACGAAAAAAGTGAACAGTCGTGAATTTAAATCTCTTTGAGATTCATTTGTTATCGTTTTAAAAGGTATTATATTCGCAAATAAATCCAACGCGCTGCGCAGCACGGATAAACGTGTCCTTTGTATCTTTCTGTCAATTAGAGGAAATGGTCGCAATTAAAGCCACTACGACGAAAAATGGTTCAAAGAAACGGACCGTGTCAGGCCGGGAAATATGGTGGAACGTGATGCGATATACAGGAACGAGGGGTACGAGTTCGATTTACGAAATACGTACGTGACCCAGAGAGACACAGGATGCTACGGACAAATTACAACTTTGTTCTTGTAGATAATTTACAAAGAAGAAGCGTAATTTCAAGAATAATTAATGACTTCTATATCCGCGAACAAACACGGGAGTCAAAATCAGAATCACGATTATTAAATCCAATGTCGATCTAATTGCCAGCGCAATCAATCGCGATAATTTAGTAAACTAATAGGCCGGTTTAATTAATCCGCGTAATCAGAAATGACCGCAACCGAACACGGTTAATCTATCGGACTAAAATCATTGAACGTACCAAGTTTCGTTTAAAGAAAAATGGGAATAATATTTTCGTACTTTGTAATCGCAACCCACGGTTTGAAATGTTTAATTAAATTTCTTTCTCGAAATTCCCCTCGCTTGCATAAGGAAACAAAGGCAAAAGCTGGCATTTCGATTCGGTGATTTTTCAAACCTAACGAAACAATCCTTTCAACCGGTGAATCTAATTAAAATCTTTTATCCTGCCGGCGAATAATCTATTCCCTTGGAACTTCATGATCTCGTTATGGGAAAGGTGAACCCTGTGCTTTAGCATGTTAACGAAATTTAATTACACTATAAGTATCGTTCATTACACGAGCGACTTCAGGACGGAAACTTCAACACGACGAAAAATCGCATCTTCGTTCATTAATGTTTCATGAGAGAATAAACTTTCCATGATAAGGAATTTTAAATAAGTATCTTTAGTTATTCTTGCAAATTAGAAAAGTAGAAAATCTGATGTGCCAGCTAAGAGGTTTGATGCATCGGATAAATAAATGAACAAGTTTATCCGATGAATTCCATAGAAACGAAGCGAAGGGAAATGAATGAAAGTAGAGATCGATGGATGAAAAGAGGGAGGATAATTAGTTAACGTATGCATTATGCAGTCACAATCAACAAGCTCTTTAATGCATTATTATTTTCAGAAGGAAATATGCCACGGTTTTCTAGGAAAATCTCGTAACGAGTAGCTCAAAGGAAAATGAATGAATTAACAAATCCCAGCGGCTGGAAAATGATTTTCACTGGAATATTTAAAAGATCATTACCGAGATGGAAAAGAAACTTGGTACGTTTTAAATTCTTAACAATAGTATTCTTTTACAATATAAGTTAATTATAATCGTTCAATAATTTCCATTTTAGAACAATTAAATCCGAATATAATACCGTGAGCGTAGGAAGCGGTTTGTATTTGATTCCGTAGAAATTGCTGAAATTCCTCCATTCTACCGGTAATATTTTCGTCGAGAATTGAAAACGTCTATATGAAATATCAACGAATAATATCTCACAATTGATTCGACAAAAGGTGACAATGAATAACCGAAAAATCGATACATTTCCCGTATGCGTGCGTATAAACGAAAACTTTTCATGCGACACCGATGCGAATGCAAATATTTCCCGACAAATTTTCATCAGATAAACAGATAGTTTTTCCGCGACGGAAACTAGGACGTAACGTGTCTGAATATTATTGCGATTTACATGATGCATACGTGTTTGTAATGAGTTTTCCAACAATGGCACGCCATGGGATTTTCCAGGACGAGAAGTTTAGGGTATAGTTTTCAAGCACGCCGCTAACTTTGTTTCCATTTTCATTAGAGTTTTCAGCGAATCTAGATACCAATTTGCAATGAAAATTCAAGGGGAAAAAACGTTTTTCCAGCCAGTTACGATCTCGTTAACGAAATCGTGTAAACTTTTCCAGTTAAAGAAAGCGTAACAAGATTTGACCGACAATTTTCCCTCCCTTTTTTCCAATTAAATAGTAGAATTTCAATTTTCTTTCAGACCTTTGTACGAAAAAGTATTATTCTCAAATAGTTAATCAAGTTTTTCAAAATCAAGTTAAATTTATTCGATCAATCCACGGAAATTCTTAGTTTCATTTTTCATCATTTTTAATCTCCGCTCCTTGATCGAAAATCTCTCGCACTGCCGGAGTGCAAAAGATTAATATTCCACTGGCAAGTTTGCGTAAAATTGTGATTGAACCGTAGGTGTGTGTCAACGACACACCGAGTCACACATCAGACGATCACATCGATTGCATACGTCACCGATGCACACACGTTTCTCCTATCGAAACATGTGTGTACCTATATTAGATTTCGCGTTTCAGCCGATATCGGTTCATCTGTCAGAACCAACGAATAACGCGACGCGAAATCGTGAAAATCAACGGGATATGCGTTGTATTTTAAGATTAGATTGTCATATAGATCAACGGAATATCATAGAATCGAAGTTGGAATTTATATGATATCAAGAAACGATCCTGCTTCTAATATTTAAAATTTCATCAATTGAATGACAATTATTTTAAATTTGATTTATGCAGGGCCTGAATTTTCGGGGGTCCGAGGCAAGCTACGAAAAAGTGCCTCTTCACATATATGAGATAAAAAAAAATACCTGAAATAAAATATATAAAATTTATAAAATTAACATTAAAGCTTGTATAACTAATTTAAATTTGTTTCAATTATTATTCAAGTAAATATTAATCTTCTTGCATTCTTAGACGCAAAATCGTCTTATGGGGGCCCTAGGCGGCCACTTAGTCTGCTCTGGATTTATGGCAAAATATTTTGCCCCCGTTTCATTTACAC